CCACAAGTCCCAAAATTTAAAAATATTATGGTTACAACTCCAGGTGCAATTTTCCCACATACATCTAAGAGTGTCAGACAAATGAAAATAATATTACTGAAAATTTAAATAAAAATATTTTGGTAAAATTATAAAAATTAAGAAATATTAATTATATTATATAAAATTTAAATAATCTTAACAAAATAATAAGGATTAAATCTCCAATTTGATCCATAAACTATTGTACAGACCTTCAATTTAGTTTTTAAATTAAAAAAATCCTTGATTTAATCTCTAAACTATTATACGGATTCTCGATTTGATCTTTACTGTTTATTAATTTACGTCAAGTTATTGTCTTTGTATAAAAAACAGTTGAGGTGTCTCATTATTAACATGATATGTGACCGTTAAGTTATTATTTTTTGTTATTAAATAATGGACAAGTCAGTTATTTATTATATGAAAGGACCAATTTAAGGCTAAGTCAGTAAACAGTAGAGACCAAATCAGGGTGTGTACAATAGTTTATGGACCAAATTAAGGATTGCTTTAGTTTAGGGATCAAATTGAGAGTTTTAATTTAAGGATCAAATTGAGAATTTATACAATAATTTAGGGACCAAATTAGGGATTTAACCAATAATAAGTTGCAAACAGCTGATAGCATCTTCTTCCACTCCTGCTCACCCTTTCCTGTTTGATTTTTTTTTATTTTTTATGACAAAAGCTAAACTGAGAAGCACTTTTGCACAGGCATGACTGAACATTCCTTAATTACAAATCATTTCTCCTTCACTGTATTTATTACTATTAGTGAAGCTTGCAGACGTACTAGTCCCAAACAGCATCTCTTTTATGTCTTGTTTGGGTTAAAGATGCTTAATTAGGGGTGGCCCTGAAACCTAAAACAACATGATTCTGCTGTGACAGTTGGCTTCTTGAGTTGAATGACAAACAAACATGCTTAGAGCTTTTTGCTTTTGCACAGCTCACTTGGACAGCAGCATCATTTTTGAAAAGGATTTTTTTAACCTAAGCAAGACAATAGATGAATGGTGTATTAAATATATATTTTTATCATAAATATATATAAAAATATAAAATTTGATATTAATTTTAATATTAATTAAATTAATTTAAATAATTAACAAATTAAATATTAATTTTTATTTTTTAATATAAATTTATAATAAAAAATATATTTAATATATTTCTAATTTATATTAAGACACAAGTTAAACAATTTTTAAAAAAAATAATAAAGAAAAACCAAAGTCACATATTTGGAAATTGCATAGGGCCTTGCTTGAAGATCAAAATTGTTGGGCTTAGATTGTTTTTTTGTGCTACCTGCCCAACCCAGTTCAACTTTGGGTTAAACTTTATTTAGCTAAAGTCTACCCAAATTTGGCCAACAAAAGTTTGGCTAGTTGAGCTAATCATGGAATTCTTGGCAAAACCTTTCACCATTTCGGAGAGGATAATTTCAGGAGGTTCAATTTGTGGATAGTATAGACATGGGTTCGACTCCTAGATGATGCCATGAGGAGATAAGTGTAATATAAATGACCTAGGCTTTTAATGAGTTAAATTAGGAGTTGAAAGAGTGTCCACACTGGTATTAGTTTAAAACTCTAAGAGCATGTTTAGTGAAAACTTGTAAGAGTTTTTATTTTTTTGTATTGTTTATAAGTGATAAATTTAAATTTTTATTCAAGGAAAAATTTAAAAATTAATTTTCAAAATATAAAAAAATGAGTAAAAAATGATTAAAAAGGAAATTTATAAAAAGTATAAATTTGAAGTTTTTCAAAATTTACTGTTTAATATTTTTTTAAGATTAAAAAGAAATTAAAAAATATAAGTTTTTAACAGAAAAATTTAAACTTATGAAACATGCGTAGTATTAAAAAACTGAAATTTTTATAAATTTCACTAAACATACCCTAAGTTAGAGGTTTTAAATTAAGTTTAAATTTTGAAACAGATGAAAAAAATTTTAAAAAATGAAAGAGATATTCCTTGTTATACAATTTTGTATCCTCGTTGGAAAGGGTTTCAGAAGTGAAACTAAACGGTTAATTATTATGATTTTGCAGCCATCCCCGGTAGACTATGCGACCTGTTCAGTCCATTGTAAAAGTATCACCCAACCGTTACCACGGAAAACAGAGAGAATTTGAGGTGATAAAAAAGACATGGTTTTGGACATTTATCAAAAAGGGACAAATATTGAACCAACACACATGCAACCTCCGTGGGTATTGTCTATACATATCAGAAAACAGCGTTTATGCACATGCTGCATGTTCCCCCTACATTCACTTTAATGCATGCATTCCTTGATCCTTCCTTTGCCATGGTCGGGAACGTGAGTCAAAACGTCAATGTTATTTCATTTTCATAGTCCCCTTGATCCTTGCACCGCACAGAAGCTTCTTTTTCATAATTTTTCCTCCCACATATTCAAACCTGGATTTAATATCCACGAATCTTTGCAATAAAGTTTCATAATCCTCTGATTTTGTTGATTTTTATGGTGTAATGGATTGTCATGATAGGATGATTTTACCTTGGGACAGTTGATCACAAGAAGCAAGAAGGATGTTTAAGGGTAACATATGAGGCAATGCATTTTGTTTGTGAAGTTGAAAACGACTCCATTGACTGTGACAAGGCAAGAAAGTGAGGATAAATCATAAAACCCCATAATTTCACCCTCACATGAGGTCTTCTTCCAACCCTTAGAAAGCAAAATATCTCACAACTACAATCACATATGACATATTTAGCATCATGTTCCCCTCAAAATTAATTAAAACCCTGGAAACAATTATGATGTCATCTTTCCCAAACTCCATCTATATTTTGATAAATATAGGTTGGGATGGACCTAAGCAAAAGTTAAAATTTAAACCTATTATTTTGTTTTTTTGGTTAAATTGGATGGTTAGAGTATTCTAGAGCTAAATCAACTTAATCGTGTATATTTTGAAACTAATATATTTTTGTGTGATTTTTTTTAAAAAATCTTCTACATCGACTTAATTTTTAAAAAAATTAATTTCTTTTAAATGCTGACTTCAATCGCTTGAGGTTAAAACCCATGATTAGTGGTAATGAGATTAGGAGCAAATGTCAACACTGAGTTTTAATTGAGGTGGTGGGGAAAATGATTATGGACCAAGCTTTTGAAATTCTATTGTGTGAAGGAATCAACAAACATGCACAAGAAAAGCATTTACATAATGAAACTGCTTAGAGAACAAAGAACAGGCCAACATGATGCTTAACTGAGGGACCCTTTGTCCATCTGTTCTTCTATAATCAAGACCGCTTTAATTAACATTAAAAAAAACGGCTTTAATTTAATTACTGGTGAATTGTATATAAATAAAGTTATAAACTTTTGATCTAGCTTTAACCTTTTTCTTTTCCCTTTACTGCTCTATGATCCTAAATGATCCATTTCTCCTGTTTCTTCAATTTTTAAAGATATCAAGTTCAAATTCTCGAATGCACCAAAATCATATGAAAAAAGCAACATAGATTTAAGAAAGATGATCATGAACACGAAGAGAGTTGATATCAAATGACCAATAAGCATAGATACATACAGAAATAAATTTACACAGGTTTTACAGTGCAACGAGTCTCAAAAATAATACTAACAGTATGTGTAACACATTCCACACTCATTTTTTCATCTTTTTCTTTACCAGTATCAACACCAAGTAAACAAAATCCCCATAAACTAATAGAAATAACATATAAATAAAATGCCCCAGACTTTGAAATTACGAAATAATTTTCAATCAACAAACCAAAATCCTGTCATTGCAAAAACAAAAGAACCCTTCTTATTCTGCAAAATGCATTGTCTCCTAATTCATAGGAAATTCAAAACCTGGAAAGGATTGATCATTTTGAGCATCAATCAGAGCAGGGTTTGGTCTTGGACCTGTAGAGCAGCTTCTTCTTCTTGGAGGTTTGGTTGTCAATGGTGAGGACTATCTTGCCTGGTTCACCAACCTTGAAGCTGTCTGAGATCACTGGTTCATCAACAGGATTGACCTTCCTTGTCTTTGAGACGATCACGGTGTAACCATCTTCAGCACTAGGTACAAACTCAGCACCGTAGCTCACATCCCACCCCACAACTCGGAGCTCCCAAAACAGAACAGACTTCTGCAATTTCAACAATCCCATATGATTACAATCTAATTCAAAGATAAATAATATATTTTTAGTACATATTAATTCAAAACAATTGTCACAATGGAGACTTATTTACACAACCCTCAAAAGCTCAAAGCCTTAAATTGTCAAACACTGGTGGCTAGCTTAACTCGTATATAGTCTATCCATCAAGGATCAACTTGGAATCAGGGACATTATGATTCTATATAGAGATTATTACCTCAGATACCGAGTATTCAACAGTGTGCTTGCTTGACGGCTTGATTGTGAATTCTGTAACAGGGTCAGCAGTAGTGAATTCCTGCTCGTCCTCTTGGCTGAGGCCACCATACTGAACTGGTACTTGTTCAGGGGCTATGTATCTATTTATCACCAAGAAAATCAAACAAAATTATGATCAAACAATAATCACAAGGAGTCGGAGGAATAAAGGAATCATTGGTATAAACTCAGGGTGAGAGTAGGAACAAAAAGGGAAAGGAAACCCACTTACTTGAAAAGGGTATCAGCAGATTTGGACGGACCAGCAACCACAAACTTGCTTTTGGTCCTCTGAGTCAGGAAAGGACTGATCATCGTATTGAAGGCTAAGTACCACCATGGAACATTGATGAAGATCTTCAAAATCCCAAAAGCAGAACGAATCAATTCAATTTGTCAGATAAAAGTATAGATATAGAATGAAAAGGGTATATAGACAGGTTAGTTTTGCAAATGAAATTATTACCTGTTTGGCTACAAATTCAGGGTAGTTATCCTGGAGAAGTTGGAGAGCCTGATTGGTTACTTGCCTGAGCTCCCTCTTGCCAGGGCCAGGGGAATTTTTGAGATCGATGACTTGAACCATGGTGTTGATTCCGCTTGGGCTGAAATCCAGTTTTCTGATACTCTTTTCCAGGAACTGAATTCTCCATCTCAGGAACTTCTGTCGCTTCGCCTCATCGGAGAAAGCATTCTGATACAATTCCTTGTTCTGGAACTCCCCGTAGACGTTGTAGCAGATTGGATGGCCCTCCTTGTCGAATCCATGCATGAAGACCACCTTTTCTAGTTCATTTCCAAGGTCTTCTTCTAGCAGGGCGTCTATTCCAAAGTCCTTGCGCCAGCGGACGGTGTTCTTGATCATGGTGAATGCATCCTTCACCTTGAAATCTCTGGCTCTCAGGAATTTCAAGAGGATCACATCGCTCCTCTCATCGGCAAGGAGCCGAATTCCCCATATAAAGACCTCCTCTGGAGGTGGAGGAGGAAGTGCAGGAGTCTCTGCCTCTTTAGGCTCCTCTGCTGGAGCGGACTCTGCTCCCTTGGAAGCAGAGGCCTCCTCTGTTTCTGCTGGAGGAGGAACAGAGACTGCGACAACGGTCTCTTCGATTGCCTCGACAGTCTTGGCACCATCCTCGTCGACCACTGCTGTCACTGTCTCGACCACCTCCGTCACGACCGCCGGCTCCGGAGCCTTCTCTTTCTCCTTGGCTTCAACCGGTGCTGGTGGTGCTTCAATCTCCACCACTTTCTCAGACACTTCCGCTTTCTCTTCAATCTCAACCTTGGATACTTCTTCAGTTTTCTGTTCTATTTTCACCTCCTCCTTCTTCTCCTCCACCACAACTTCAGCCACCTTCTCTTCCTCCTTAGCCGGCGGAGCAGTGAACTCGTGCTTGTTAAGTGCACCCTGAATCAACTGCTTGAGCTCTTCCAGAGCCCTTTTCTGCGACTCTGGAAGCTCCCCAACAACGTTGGTCTCTTCCTTGAAAGAACCCGACTCAGCAATTTTTTCCTCTGCAGCAGCTTCCGCTACCACCTCAGCCTTGGGCTTCTCCGCCACCTCAACTGCTTCCTCGACAGCTACTTTCTCTTCCAGCACAGCCACCGCCGCCACCTCGGGCTCCGGTTCAGGAGCCGGTGGCAAGTCTTTTTCAGTAACAGGTTTCTCGACGACGACGTCATCGGCAGCCGTCGCTGCCCCTGGCTTCTGAGTGTCCTCGGCCATGAGCGATAATTTGAGGGAGTTAGAAAGAAAGAAAAAGGCGGAATTAAAGAGGGAGAGAAGGGGAAGTGGGGGGTTTAGATTAGAGAATGAGCCAATGAGAAGACAGAGTAGGGGGGAGGGAGGGGATGTGGGTGGGAGAAGCGATGTTTGGGGGTTTGGGGGGTTTTGTGGGCGATTGAGAGAAGAGAACCAGTCTGTCAAGGCCTGTTTGCCAGCTATTACGCCACTTTGTTTGTGGGTCCCACGCTAATTCCCCTACCTCCTCGCCACCCCTTCTTTTTTTCT